GCTATGATTTTATTTCATTAAGTGTTCTTTATATTCATTATATATCTCTAACATACTATATATCATAGATTATAAGATGCTTTGGTGCTGGTACTGTTTGTCACTACCATGACTTGAAGTCACCATAAGGTGTAAGATGCATCCTGAACTTCAGGGAGAAAAAAATGTTCAATAATGTGCCACTCGCAATAAAAGAAAGGAAATACATTTAATTGTTTATTTACAATTACATTTTTATTGCAGTATAAAAGAAAAATGATCTGAATACAGCACATACTAAATGGAAATATACTTAGTGATTCATTTGTTTCTGTTTATATTAAGTAGCTTGTATTTTAAATACTCTGTATTATGGAGAAATCCTTGGTGAATTGTCAAGTAGGTGTTGAGTACTTTAGCTATATCTAAGAAATTGTTTAGGGTCTTGAGTGGGTTGAAAATTCATTATGATTTTTCCTACTCAAAATAATAAAATATGGGGCACCACTTTCCAAAAAATTGCCACACAATACATAAAAAGATGTACCTCAATATACTGAAACACATATATGTAATAAAGTTATAAAAATATAAAGAATGAAACACAAAACTAAAACTGCTGATTACTTCTGGGGAAGAGGGCAGAGGAAAGAATGGGAAACGGAAACAGCTCCATTAAGTACAATGCAGGAAAATACACATTTGTTAAAGACAAAGACGATGAATCACAGCTACACTATACAGTCACTAGTAAAGATCTGAAAAGGTACACAACAAACTCTTAAGAGTAAAGTTGTCAAGGCAAGCTTTCTCATTGTTACTTTATATTCCGTATTTTTCTTCAACGTTTTGGTAATGGGCATCTGTGATTTTTAAAGTTAATAAAAAGGAAGTAAGGTATTTAATGTTGGGGAAGAAAACGGCAATACAATCATTGTTACAGTTCTCTGACATACTATAGTCCACAAAAATACAGTGTTTTAGGTTATGAATCATTCTTCAGAAACCTATGGACTAGGATGCATTAGACCCAGTTTGTAGATAATGCACTGAATGAGCTAGCATATGATGTGACCAATAACCTCATATTGAAAAGTTCCACTCAAAGTAACATCTAAATATCTTGAAAATACCTCTATTTTTCCATACCACTTACAATGGTATACTTTCCATTTCTTCCTTTCCCTTCTTTCACTGTTTTGTTTAATTTTATTGGAACAATATGCACTGAACACCTATCTACATACCAGGCACCAAGCTAGGTATTGGCAGTACCAAAATAAATAGATACGGTCCCAGTTTTCAAGAAGCTTATTAGATACAGCAGTATTATCGAATTCGATTTTCTGCAATGATGGAAATGTTCTGTACCTGCACTGTTCAATACAGTAGCCATTAGCAGCATGTAGCCACTGAGCATTTGAAATGTGGTTAATGTGACCAATGAACTTTCAAGTTTATTTAATTTAAATGAGTTTAAATTTAAATAGCTACTTGTGACTAGTGCCTATGGCACTGGACTGCACAAGTCTACAGGAAGACAAGGACAAATAACCACAACTACAATGTATTATGGTAAACTCTAAACCAGAAGTATGTTAAAGGCTATGAAAGAAAGGGAAAGGAACACTGAGTCTACCATAGGGTGACGTCTGGAAAAACTGACACTTAATTCTTGAATCATGTGAACAAAGGTGAGGCATTACATGAAAATAACCAATATAAGTAAACCCTTGTGGATTTAAAACTGCATGGCAGGGAGATTAAAAGTAGTGTTGTATCACTAAATGGGAAAATCTACTACAAAGAGTAACAGGACAGATACTGGAAAGGTAAATGTATGTTAAGAAGGCCAGAATGTGGGAAGTCTAAATGTAATGTTTAGAAGCTTGAATACGCTACCTAACAAAGGGAAAGCAGGGTCAGGCAGGGTGGCTCACACCTGTAATCCCAGCACTTCCAGAGGCCGAGGCGGACAGATTACGAGGTCAGGAGTTCGAAGCCAGCCTGACCAACATGGTGAAACTCCATCTCTACTAAAAATACAAAAATTAGCTGGGCGTGGTGGCGCGCACCTGTAATCCAGCTACTCAGGAGGCTGAGGCAGGAGAATAGCTTGAACCCAAGAGGCGGAGATTGCAGTGAGTGCACCACTGCACTCCAGCCTGGGCGACAGAGTGAGAGTCCGTCTCATAACAACAACAACCCCCCCCCCCAAAAAAAAACAAAAAAGGGAAAGCCATTGATTAGTTACATTGGTAATTAAGATGGTTTATATTTGTGCATGCGCATGCTCATAGTTAGGGTAAGTTAGTCTAAATTAGAGGAAGATAAGAAAATGCTTACAAAAACTGAAGGTGCATTTCCTTGGAAAAACCTTGACAATCCAAAAATGAACCGTGAGCCATATAAATAAATTGTTTTATCTGAACTAATATGCAAGTCTATCTCTGCAAATAAACTTCAACTACTGTATTCAAACTCTGAATACCTAACTGGGCTTAAATTTATAGTAAGAAAGGAAACACACAAAGTAGATACCACCATAAAAATCAATACTTCAAACCATGCCCATTTAAAAGTCACTGTCTTTAGCACATAGCCGAGGGAATGTACCTTCCTAAACTAAATTCCTAAGGCTTTAATCAGGTCCGTAAGGAAATGAGACCTGGAGAAATGTTACAAAAATTCTTGTTAAACTCTGGAGTATTAGCCTATTATCAGAATGTTCGAATAAATACAAAGTATCTCTCAAAAGCAAAAGCCCTCAAAGATAAATGAAAATGGTTTTAAACACAGACACAACAAAATTCTACTTTATCCTTGGAAAATAAATAAATTTCCTCCAAAATAGAATTTTTAAAAATCCAAAATCATTTTTATCAATTCGGAAGATTTAAGTTCTCTCTTCTAGCTATTTTGAAATATACAATACCTTGTTAATTATAGTCACCCTACTCTGCTACGGAACACTAGAATTTATCCCTCTATGTCCCTTTTCTCTTTTGTTTTTACTTAGTGATGCTAAATGCATATTGAAGTATCCTTGGAAACAGCTGTTTAAAGCTGGATTGTAAAATTATTGTATTTTTGAACCCTACTCTGAAAAGCACATGTATAGAAACAGAATTTCCTGTTAGGTATTAACGATGAATATATTAAGAATATAAAAATTCTTAGACTACCAGTACAAATACAAATGTTACTTTAGTGATGAACATTCCTTTGAATTTCCCATACATTCTTATATACACATTCTATACATGTGACAAAATACCACACGTACCTCATAAATATGTACAACTATGTATCAATAAACGAAGAGAGAAAAGGGACGACATTTTGAGGCAGCAAAATCATAACCAAAAATGCGTTTTCCAGGTATGCTAAAAAACCTGGATTATTTGTAAATAATGTGACTGGAACAATGGAGTATTTTTAGTGTAGAATGAGCAAGAATAAGCAGATGTCTTCATGTATACAACCTAATTCTGTTTTCTTTCTTAACTATAAATTTTGGAATTCTATATTAATATGGTTCCATGAGACAAATTAACTACAGTGTGTAATTACATAAAAATTCTACATTCACACTTTACAAACTGGATTATGAGCACTGAAAAGCTACATAATTCAGAATCACAAAATTCTTAAAATAATTTGGCAGAACCTACCAAAAGATGCAGAAGTCCAAGAAGTGTGACCAATTAAAATCTTATAAGTCAAGGTAATTGGAAGCGGTTGGGAAGCAGGAGCTACACCTGAGTACAAATAATTAGCAAAGGCTATGTTGGTCAAGTCTATGAGGACAACTCAGAAGAAAGCTTACAGAGAAAACTGATTCAGCATAGCCTCAGTTTTCTCTGGCTTATTAAAATCATAAAGATCTGGCAAGAAACTTTAGACACCAAGTTAGAAAAAAATTCTAGAAAGGTTAAAGATGACATTATTTTTAATTAGGAACAGTGCCTAAACCAGAACCCAGATCTTATAGTCAAAGGCTCTTTGTTATACGATACACCAAAAAGACTAATTTACAATTTGCTCCACTGCTCACTTTTCCAATTTGAGGGAAGGAAAGATTAGCTGGGCTAAAATAAATGGTTAGCAGATAAACGGTTAACCAAAGCTGCTGCTATCATACTAGTTGCCTTCACAACCTAGAGAGAATGAACTGATGAGTGAAAGGAAGTGTGGGAGGTCGAGAGGTTGGACACATATCTGTGCAGGAAGCCTAAAAGTTTATTTGTACTCAAGCTTTAAAGTATTCTGTATTCCGGATAACTAAATAAATGTGGTAACAGATCACTATCAAATGAATAAAGGATATTTCCTTTAAAAAACTAAATTCAAATATGTTGATTTTCTTTAAATCACTGTCTAATAGCACAATCTTTAAAATTCACCTTCTTTTCAAAGTTCAGAAATAGCAATGTTACATTTCCACTATTCTTTCAGCCTTCCTACACACTGAATAAGGAATGGATATGATTAACCACTTTATTAAATGAGAAAACAAGAATCTAGCATTTTAAGGACAGCAAACTAATAACAAATTCAATAGAATTTGGGTCTCTGAGCACCCTGGGTTTCTCATTTCTATTTCCTCTATACTCACTTTTGTCTACATTTCTGGGACATATACTTTGTTATCCAAAATATAGCACAAGACTTAGGGTTTAGTCTTCCAGGAATAATAAGAAATCAACACTTTCGTTTTTACTAGCTTTGAATCCAGTTATGAAGTCATAACTTGTATATCATATAATCTAAGTTTTGACAAACATCTCAGAAAACTGATTTGACACACTAAAAGAATATACATTATGAATATGCTTTATTTTGAAAAGTGTTCCCAACTGTTTCAACTATCAAATCCAGTACTTAATTTAAAATTATAAACCCAAATTTTCAAATTGAGGTGTATCGAATTTGCTGGTTCCAATTACATATAACACATTTAAACAGTTTCAAAATAGCTACAAGACCGATAGAGAAAAAAGAAAAAAGACTGGTCTTACCTGGTAGTTTCTTTTCTCAGATAATGTATGTCCATCAGTCCTCACCATAGAGTCGTGTCCTTTCCTCACAGTACCGGAGGCAATCAAATAGAACTGTCACTCAAGGGTCGTGTCACAGGAAGGACCGCCCACCACTTCTCCCTCTAGAGTGGAATTATCCAAAAGCCGTCAAAATTACTAACACATAAATATATCAACAGCAGCAAAAATATTCAATATGATACACAGAAAACAAAAAAAAGTCATTGTTCTATACTCCAACCAGTCTTCCTCATAATCATTTTCGTGGGCTAGACTAGCATACTTTATTTGCAACAGAAATTATTAAATATGAAACATTCTTCCTACCCACTTCTACTTTCTTCAATTAAGACTGTCTGCCAGACATCATACACAAGGGAGAAATTTACAGTGAATAAAAAATGAAATGGACAAAAAAGTTTACCCCTCCCACAAGTGATATTTTTTTCTTTTACATTTATCTTCTCCAGTTATCTCAAAAACATACAATTCATATTCAATCATTTAATGACAAATCCTTCCCCTCCAAATGATTATATATATGGTGATAGATAGAAAATATAAGTTACTCACACAGCTACTGATTCATTCTGTGTAGGTTTATTCCCATACAACAAAATGGGAATGCAACATATATTCAAGAGATACAAACCTAACTCAATATTCTATTAAGCTTTACTCCAAAAAGAAGAGCAAAAAATGTCAACTTCCATTGATGCTTTTGTCTTTCAGTCATCCAATTTCACGCATACTCCAATAGGGAATTCACTTTTTTTACATTGGGCGAAAAAATGATGGGGCTAATTTCTTAAACTGCAGAGATATAAATAAGTTCAAAATGACTTGCACTCGAGGTACCACCTCCCACAAAAAAAAAAAAAAAAAAAATCACTGAAGCTGAGGTGACAGCCACAAGAAATGCTATCTTTAAAATGAATATTGAAAATGAGAGTTCAAATATTCAAAGGTGGGTATACAAACAATTTGTAAATATGCATTTTCAAGACAGACATCTCTTAGCTAAGTTTGGTTAAACATTCTCCCTAAGGAAGTAGTATGTATACCTACTGAACTAATAATCTTGCTAGCCACTAAAGATTATATTCAAATTCAGAACAATTATTTAATATCAACAAATGTATTTTGTGAAGAGGTAATATATAATCTATAATTTATAAGGAGAGTGAATCAGTATTATTAAAACCAACAAACACGCATGTACATATATATATGGAGTACCTCTAAAAAGCAATCTATACGGGCAGAACATTTTTTTTTTTAAAAACAAATCATTAAAAATGAATATTACTAAATTTAAGTTTTAAAAAGAACCCAGGTGACAAAAACCTATCTTCTGGCTCCTCTTTTATGTTTGATCACAAAGGTAGTGGGAGGTGTATTTTTACTTAAGTCTGACTATCTTACAGTGTACGTTTAGCTGAAATACTTCAAGATGTCAGGCTGTATGACAAAATTGTAATTGCTGATTACCAAATTTATAAGTACCTTTGGAATTAAATATGTCTCTTTCAAAAACAACAAAGGAGTAAAGTTTTAAAAGCATATTTACTACTATAAATGTAATCTTTATCATTTAGCAAGCAATGAGGTTTTCATAAGGAAAAGTTACCAAGTGAATTGGATATTCAGGAATTGTTAAATGATGCACATTTGGCTCCAACTCAAATTTTCACGATTGTCACAAAAAGAGAGCAAGATTATTTTATTATGCATCTTCCAAATATTAACTGTTTTAATATTAGTGTTTTATAATATTAAATTGTAAAGTAGTACTTGCTTTACCATTAATATATACATGGTGACTCTGAATTCAGCGGATAATAAAGCAAAATTTCAGTCAGTACTTACAGAATAAAATGTTTTCCTTCTTATATAATATTTAAGGTCTATGAATTACCTTCAATTATATTAATGTCAGCAAAAGAATGTTGGAAATCTACAATCAGGTAAGGTAATTTTCAATACACTAATGCTGTATACATCTTTAACATAACCTAATTATATACCAAAGATAAGGACTGAATTTTATATGCCAATACCATAACAATACATATTAATATTTAATCTGTAAGAATTTATCAGATAAAAGTTCACTTTGAAGAATTATGGATTTTCATATAAAGGGAAAATCTGTTTATTATTTGCTTTGTTTCCTCTTCTGGGGATAATTGGAAATATTTCATGGCCTGGAGTTTCAATCCATAGCCACCATACTCTAATCAATGTGGGAGCTAATATTCTATACTGAAATAAGAATCATTATCTCCTTTTAATACAGAGAAAAATGACTTAAGACACTGTATTTTCTTCCAAATAAACATGAAAAGTTAACATCTATCACCACTATCTTCATCGTAGTATATTAAATAAAAATATTCAGCAATAAATTATGTTGATAACCTTCATATTGGAAATGAAAGGATGTACAATAAGTCAAAGAGACAGACTGTGAAAAGGAACAAACATGAGAGAGAGCATGCATCCTAGGTGCCAAAATTTATTAAGGTTTATACACTGTTCTCCCACTAAGTCCTATAAATATTCAAGAATTCAGAAAAGACAAATATTTGCAAAACTACAATGAAATTTTCTATAAGGCAAGGGTGTATTTCATGATGAAAAAAAGAGGCTATGTTTACCCTTCTACCTTAAATAAACAGAAAACTAGACAAAATATATGAAACAATGGTTTCCAGACATCACACAACAATCTTCTCAGCACAGAGATCATCAAGAAAAAGGAACAAATATAGTGCACCCAGCTCACTGCCTGTAGAGTTTTGAGGCTGAAGCACAAGGAGGGGAAACTGGAACTAATTCTTTTTAATATATTTGATGAGCACTATAAACTCACAGATCCAAATTCACCACCTCTAAAGAGAATAACAACAACAAAACCACATGATCGTAACATCTCAGAGTAAAACTGTTACAAAACAGCAATAAACAAGAATCTTAAAGCAGGGGAAAAAATACATAGAGTAACAAAGGTAGGAATGACACCAGACTTCTCATCAGAAACAATGCAAATCAGAGGACAGTGGTTCAATATATTTAAAGTATAGAAAAAAGAAAACTATCAACAAAGAATTCTAAGCCCAGCTAAAATATCTTTCAAAAATGAAGGTAAGTACAGCCATGTTAGAAGGAGGTTAGGCAATTTCTTATAAAGGTAAACAAAAGCTTACCATACAACTCAGCAACTATACCCCTAAGTATTTACCAGTACAAACTGAAAACAGGTTCACACCAAAACCAGTACATGTATGAAGATGTATGTATGTTCACACCAACACCAGTACATGTATCTTCATTTCAGTGAAGATGTGATGTCCTTTAATAGGTGAACGGATAAACAGAGTATCTACACAACAGAATACTCTCAACAACAAAATGGAAGAAGCTGTTAATTCATGCAAAATGGATGAATCTTAAGTGCATTTTTGCTACAGGAAAGAAACCAGACCCCAAAGGCCACAAGTTGAACAATTCCATTAATATGACATTGCGGAAAAGGCAAAATTATAAACACAAAAAATAGACCAATTACTTCTCTCTGGCCTTAGTTTCCTAAGCTATAAAATAAAATGATTTAGATGAATCTTAACTTTTCCTTTCTTTAAACATTTTAAAAAACTTTTCCCATGTTCCCCCTCAACCCACTTCATTACTCAATAGTATTTAAACAATGGCCAAATATTTTAAAGGCTGAAAATAGTTATCTAAAATATCTGTAATTGGGTAGTCATTACCACACTCAAAGTTAAAATATGAATTTCGTCAGGTTAAGACAGCTGAACCAGCTGAACAGGTTTTCTTTTTTTTTAACAGAAGACATTACATTCTAGGGTAGCTATTAATTAGGACAAACTACAAGATGTGACCAATTTCACTGGAGCTCAATAAAATGTGCAGTAAATGCACTTAACTATTATTTTTAAAATAAGGGTTCCTCAAATTCTAGAACTATGTCAAGCAACGTTTTCTTAATAGGTCGACTGCAGTCACATAAATATTTCCTTGCCCTTATGAACTAATTTTTTGCTTGATCACATGGATAAATGTTTTTAAAATTCTAAGTTGATGGGCAGATGAAATAAATATAAATAAAACTCAAGAATTTCAGTAAAATAAAAATAAAACTCAAGAATACCATACCTGGTCTAGGAAAATTGCCATATTAACTAAGAACAGTTTCTCTATTTCAGTAATATAGGTTTCATGGACCTATAATTAGCATGTAAAATGAAAAGCTGCCTATATCTACAAAGAAAAACAAATACAACTTAACAATATTCTATTGAAATGAATTTGCTCTCTGGTTGTCATAATACTCTATAACAATGTTGTATGTGTCTTCCATTTTCTATAGTGGTACTACTTTTAACCCAACTGTATAGTGTTCTCTCATCCATACTCCAAGGAGGATTCTACACATCTGATACACAGAATTTACTCTAAGTAGAGAGTCAGGTCTATCTAAAAGGCCCACCATCTTGAGACATAGAAATTTTCTTCTACTGCAGCTTAAAAGTTTCAAATGAAGTGAATACTATAAAGGGAATCCTACTGATCTTAAACAACAAAAGTTCAATAATTTCTGAACCACAGGCTTGAAAATTAAAAGCTCTTCATTTGATTTAGGCTTAAATAAAACTGGGGTCTGAAATTCAGACAATAGGGGTTGTTTCTAGTCTTCCTGCTGCCCGAAATGTACGTATGTTTACACAAGTTGCTTAGCTTCTGTCTGATTTAATTTCCTCCTATTATAAATGGAAATAACATGGTCTAGTTCATGGTTTAGAGAAGAAGCAGCCAGCGAGGGAGATGAAAACCAAAGAGAGTATGGTAGATATCTTGAAAGTTAACTGGAATAAGTGGTTCAAGGAAGAATGTAATCAACTGTTTCAAAAAGCTGTTGATTAAAAAAAGAAAAAAAAAAAGATGAGAATTAATCTTTGGATTTAGCAGCATGGAGATCACCGACTTGGTAAACTTCACAAGATAGCTTTGGTGAAATAAATGTACTAACTAGACTGGATTCACAAGAGAACAGGAAGAGAGAAACTGGAGACAAAGTACAGTCATCATTTTCAAGAAG